ATCCATATTGTTTGCTTTGGATATTCTCGAAAATTATCCAGTCTGTGTGACTATGCCTTGCATTTATACGCATACGGTTTAAAAATTTGCTATTTTTCCTAAAACCAAGATTTTTATACCATTCCTTTTGGTGAGACGTTACCGCCAGAAAAGCACACCGTGTGTGTTGATATTGTGTTGCTTCTGGGGCTTTCTCTAGATGTTTAGTAAAGTACTTAAAATATAATCTCTTAACGAACAATCTCTACTCAACACCAGTGTAGTTAAGTCGTCCCATCCATGTAAATCGTAGATGATTCGTAAACCGGTTGCATAAACATGTTCTATGAGGTCATGTTGTTTTTCTGTGAAGAAGAGCCAGGTAGTGAATACCCAAATAAAATGCGGAAGTGCGAACTTGCTTCTTCATTCTGATCTCTGTACTCTACTATTTTATCTCGAAATGTGAACTAAGACGACATTTTTCAATCATGTTATCATTCCTCTACTTATTGTTAGTCTTTTCACTCTCTCCATCAGTTCACTATTACACATCAAGCTGAAGGTTTTTCAGAGCCTGCTCAATATCACAGCCATTTCCTGAGAGTTTGATTGAATTCAAATGTAAAACAAAAACGTTTCTTTCGCTCGGAGCATCCGTTAAGTAAATCAGTCAATATTTTATCATTCGTTACTAAAATCATAATGTAAACTAAAGTTCAGATTGGCATGCTTCCCATGCGTTAAACTCAAATTTCTTCTATAGCTTTTATAAAAATTTCGTTTTAAAAGCAGCTTGACACACAACAAAAAAGAGTAAAATGACGTCTTAACGTATGTATAATGGAAAAAAGCTCTAGAAAACCTGATATATAACTTTCTGTTCCGACATACTTACAATACAATTACAATGCGTTACAATGCAATTGGAATTTGGTAACGCCTTATAACGGTACACAAAATTACTAACGAGCTAGTCGAATTTATAGCGTTGAAACATTATAAAATATAAGAAGGTCGTTGATAAAAATGCATTAGAACACTATAATTTCACTTGTTGGGCAGTTTTTTCCCTGTAATGCTTGAAGATATAGCTTTTATAAAAGCAGCTTGTCATACAACAAAAAAGAGTAAAATGACGTCTTAACGTATATATAATGGAAAATGTTAAGTGGCAATCATGGTCTAAAGTTTTGCGTCTGTAAAATATTCAGCTAAAAGAAAGTAAGGGAAGGAATATGTTCGAGCTGTATGCTATTCGTCTTAACAGAACGAATCCATCTTGTTGTGTTTGTGATCACTTCGTCGTTGTTATTATTGTTCGATAATCGAAACGAACACATAGTAAATGTTTTATTAATAACTTCTTTACTTGTTTACGGTAGACAACTGAGGACATGGTATAAATGTAGAACGAGAATGTATAATTCAAATACCACGGCAAGTAAACTACTTGTCCAACAAAATTCTCCCACATTAATTGCTCCGGATCTTTTTGATTATTTAATGTGATGCCACTGTAAATATTTCTTATCATAGCAGGAAATGTTGCTACAACAATCAACAGTATTTGTAACAGGATCATCGATGATATTTGTGTGTCACGACGTTGTCTTGAGGATGATGGAGCAATCTGTTGACGCATATTTTTGTAGGCGAGTAAACCAAAGAAGGATGTGATTAGTACGGGAGCTAATCCGTAAAGTATAGGGGGTAGTATGTACGATGTATAAATAGTGTAGCCAGGACGATCAAAGGTGCACAGCGACTGTGAATTGATATCAAAGAATATGAGAGTGGGGATGTTCTCAAGCATCCAAAATGCAATGACCATTGGTACGACATATTTGGCTATTTTCAATGAACTGTATGCTCTTATGTTAGGATTACGGCAAGTTGATAAATATCTGTCTACTACTGCTATGCACACCAATGTTGGAGATGTAATGGCTAACACAAAACCATAATAATTTCTAAATTTACACCAAATCGTTGATAACCTCGAATAATCCACTAGAAAACCAATTGGTAAAACACGATTAAACAGAAATGATTGTAAATGTAAAAGATTGACAGCGCATGATGCGCCCAAATACCATGAAGATGGTGAGAACCTAAACGTTTTCCTACTAAACATGATGATATTTATGCAATTACCAAAACATCCACTAACATAAATCAAAACACCAGCGTATATTGTTAATTGTTGAGTTATCACATTCAGTGTCGCTGCTGTTGAAGAGGACGACATATAGTGTTTGGTTTGAAGTGAAGTCGTTGTTAAAAGAATACTTTTATTGTTTGAAAGGCATCTGCGTATCAAACCATTTCTTTCTTGTCGCTGCTGGCGTTGACATGCAATTAGAAGAAATCTGCGTCATTCCACATAAAGAGAAAAATACTGGAAAACGAGATTTTTTCCATACATGTTTTTGTGCGTAAAGGTCTCTATACATGTATTGAAGAGTTACGTTCAAAGAAAAGAATGAGTTTTGTACTTTAGCTTTAAATTTTCTTTATGCAGATACATTTATATTATCGTTCTTATTTACATTTACTACTATACAACTATATAAGAAATATACCTCAAATACACTTGCTTTTATACATTTTGTACGTATTCGATTACACGTTTTATCTAAACCTAGCTGATAACCTCCTTGCGTTTAATCTGTTTGACGGCAGGAACTAGCTTGGCCGATCGGTTAAGCGGACGATTGGAGTTAGATCAGATAGTGCTAGCTCGATTGGTTGGTTAAGCGAGCGATAACCTAGCGAATAACCTCACTGTGTTTAATCTATTTGATGTCAAGAACTAACTGGACCGGACGGTTAGGCGAGCAGCTGGAGCTAGATCAAATAGAGCTAGCTCGATCGGTCTGTCAAATGGGCAGTTAACCCACCTGATAACCTTCTTGTGTTTAGTCTATTGGATACCAGGAACTAAGCCCAAAAGTAGATTGAACCACCCGATCTTAGGTTAAACTGAATCAGAATTGAGATTGCAAGTACGCGACGTTTTGACCAACTAATAGGCTACCAGGCACACATGTAGTAGTTCATAAGTGATGAAATCATTGAGAAGATATTTTAGAGACTTAGAGTTAGCATGCATCATTTAAAAAACTTTAAAACATCGGCAGGGGGAGGCTGACATTTGGGGATTTTATAGGTTCCAAGACGCAATTCATATTTAACTATCTCAGAAATAACAAAAGTGACAAACATGAACGCTTTAGGACATAAGCTAGAGACCACAAGGAATAAAATAGCTCAC